CCGTCTTCAGACGCAGATCAAGGAACACGCGCACAAGGTCGACAGGCTGTACGACTATGAGACACAAATAGACCAGCTTATGAGGCTGCAGCGGCTGTGGTATGAGTGCTCCAAGTTTCTGGAGTTGGTCCTAGGAACTCAACGCATCTCAGGGAGTCGGATGTACACAAGCTGAACGACAGCAAGGAGTACCTGGCTGCCTTTGCCAGCAAGTACAAGAAGATGGAACTGCGGGTTGACGCGCACCAGCGAACGCAGATGGAAATGGAAGAGAACGCTGCGTAAGCACTTGCACGTCGTGCGGAACGTCCTCGAAACTGATGGGGAACACAGCGCCCAGCGGCAACAGCTCCTTCTGCTCGAGAGCAAGCTGGATCATTACAAGAAGCAACTGGAACAAGCTCGACGGACGTCCGTGCTGAGCCGCCAGAGCGAGCTGCCGGCGGAGTGGCGGCGGACGCAAGAGGCGAACGAGAAGCTGCGGAACGAGAATGAGGAGTTGCGTGATGAGATTGAGGAAGTGAAGGCGATGGTCGAGGTGTTGAAAGAGCAGCGAGCCGGTCGGACTGGACTTGTACACTCCCCGCGGTCCTCGCCGCCCTTGTGAGGTGTTCCCAATAAGGAAGGCGTTGTAGAAGAGTATGGAAGGTGGCAGAACGTTCTCGTCCAGACAAGGCAAGGACACGGGCGCTTGACCGGATTGGTCGAGGCAGATGGAAGGTTCTCGAATGGCGAGGCGAGGAGAGTACATAAAGCTGCGAGGGCCCTGTGCCCGCTCTTCAGACGTTGAATCGCTATAGCATCATCTCTCACCTTTACCCTCTCCCCCGTTACGATCTTCACGCAAAATGGCCACCGAGAGCTTCGGCTTCCAGGCTGAGATCAGCCAGCTTCTCGACCTCATCATCAGTACGTAGCCTCGGCTTTTTGTTCGACGGTGACGCGTAGCTAACACGCTCTTTCCAGACACCTTCTACTCCAACAAGGAGATCTTCCTCCGAGAACTCATCTCGAACGCGTCCGACGCGCTCGACAAGATCCGCTATGCATCCCTCACCGACCCCTCTGTCCTTGACACCGGCAAGGACCTCTATATCCGCATCGTCCCCGACAAGGAGAACAAGGTTCTCTCCATCATCGATACCGGTATCGGCATGACCAAGGCCGACCTCGTCAACAACCTCGGTACCATCGCCAAGTCCGGCACGAAGGTAAGTCTCAGTGTGGCGCGCATCCAGTGGCACAACAGTTTGCTCACCCTGCTGTGTTGTAGGGCTTCATGGAGGCTCTCCAGTCCGGTGCCGACATCTCTATGATCGGCCAGTTCGGTGTCGGTTTCTACTCCGCATACCTCGTCGCCGAGCGCGTCCAGGTTATCACGAAGCACAACGACGACGAGCAGTACATCTGGGAGTCTGCTGCCGGCGGCACCTTCACCATCACCCAAGACACCGTCAACCCCCCTCTTGGCCGTGGTACCGAGATCCGCCTCTACCTCAAGGAGGACCAGCTTGAGTACCTTGAGGAGAAGCGCATTAAGGAGATCGTCAAGAAGCACTCCGAGTTCATCTCCTACCCCATTCAGTTGGCGGTGACCAAGGAGGTTGAGAAGGCAAGTATCTCGCTCCGTCTTATAGCGTAAGAACTTTATATGCTAACTTCGACCGTGCAGGAGGTCGAGGACGATGAGGAGGTGGCTGAGGACAAGGAGGAGTCCAAGGTCGAGGAGGTCGAGGACGAGGACAAGCCCAAGGAGAAGAAGACGAAGAAGATCAAGGAGGTGGAGACGACCACGGAGGAGCTTAACAAGACCAAGCCCATCTGGACTCGCAACCCCTCCGAGATCACTCAGGAGGAGTACGCTGCGTTCTACAAGAGCTTGACCAACGACTGGGAGGAGCACCTCGCTGTAAAGCACTTCTCCGTCGAGGGTCAGCTTGAGTTCAAGGCTATCCTCTTCATCCCCAAGCGGTGAGTGACTAAGTCTTGTTTCGCGCTCCTTTAGCGATGTTCTGACAGAATCTTTCGATAGTGCTCCCTTCGACCTCTTCGAATCCAAGAAGAAGCGCAACAACATCAAGCTCTACGTCCGCCGCGTGTTCATCATGGACGACTGCGAGGACCTCATTCCCGAGTACCTCAACTTCGTCAAGGGCATCGTCGACTCTGAGGATCTTCCGCTCAACATTTCGCGTGAAACCCTCCAGCAGAACAAGATCCTCAAGGTCATCCGCAAGAACCTTGTCAAGAAGTGCCTTGACCTCTTCTCCGAGATCGCGGAGGACAAGGACAACTTCAACAAGTTCTACGAGTCGTTCGGCAAGAACATCAAGCTCGGTGTACACGAGGATGCCCAGAACCGCAGCAAGCTCGCTGAGTTCCTCCGCTTCTACTCGACGAAGTCCACCGAGGAGATGACCTCCCTCAAGGGTAAGTAACTACTTTTCGCGTGATACGCATTGTTCAGTTTATTGACATCCCTTCCTCAGACTACATCACTCGCATGCCCGAGGTCCAGAAGAACATCTACTTCTTGACCGGCGAGTCCCTCTCCGCCGTCAAGGACTCTCCGTTCCTCGAGGTTCTCAAGAAGAAGGGCTTCGAGGTTCTCCTGCTCGTCGACCCCATCGACGAGTACGCTATCACCCAGCTCAAGGAGTTCGACGGTCACAAGCTCGTCTGCGTCTCGAAGGAGGGTCTCGAGCTCGAGGAGACCGAGGAGGAGAAGAAGGCCCGCGAGGAGGAGGCCAAGCAGTTCGAGGACCTCTGCAAGGCGGTCAAGGACGCGCTTGGCGACAAGGTCGAGAAGGTTGTCGTCTCGAACCGTATCACCGACTCTCCCTGCGTCCTCGTCACCGGTCAGTTCGGCTGGTCGTCGAACATGGAGCGTATCATGAAGGCGCAGGCGCTCCGTGACTCTTCGATGTCGTCGTACATGGCCTCGAAGAAGACGCTCGAGCTCAACCCCCACAACCCGATCGTCAAGGAGCTCAAGCGCAAGGTTGCGGAGGACAAGGCTGACAAGTCCGTTCGCGACCTTACGTTCCTGCTCTTCGAGACCGCCCTCCTCACCTCCGGCTTCTCGCTCGACGACCCCACATCGTTCGCGAAGCGCATCCACCGCATGATCGCTCTCGGTCTCGACGTCGATGAGGTCGAGGAGTCGGCACCTGAACCGTCGGCAAGCACTGAGGCACCAGCTGCGGAGGCAGCGTCTGCCTCGGCGATGGAGGAGATCGACTAAAAGGCTCGCGCTTCTTGGACGTTCTGGGGTTATGGTAGACCTGCTTTGAAGTTTTCTCATCATGTGTATTATAGACTCTGTCGGCATTGCTGTCTTGTTGCATCTCACGACCACCATACGCACTTACTGTAGTATCGCAATGAATACCGTTCTTTGCTTCTCACATGCGTTGTTGGCTGGCGTGCTTCTCGTTTGTCTTCCTTCGTCTTGCAGACGAACGTCGTCGGTACTTCGAGCCTTCGCGGTCACTCGGGGCGAGCGAATTCGCATAAATTCAATGGCTTCTGCGCGCATGCGCTCACTAGAAATACATACATGCCCTCATGTTCCCCGGTGCAGTTTCTACATTCACTTCTTCCTGGCGATAACCAGGAAAGTCTGGTACGGATACTCGAAGATACCCTTGCTCTCGTCGATCCAGGTCAGACCCTCCTTGCGCTGGAGGATGGCATCGATGTCGTCGATGACCTTCTGCTTGTCTTCAGGAGAAAGGACGGTGATGTAGCTCTTGCTCAAAGCGCGGTCGACGACGATGTCACGCGTGCCATGGAGAACATAGTCCCAGACGTTTTCCTCCTGAGGTTCGAAGTTGGCTTGGTAGGACGGAGTAGAGAACGCAGCGCGCCATAGGCCGAGGCGGAACTGCGGCGTCCCTTTCTCGTGTTGCTCAATCCGGTCGCGGAGCTGAGCGACCCATGCTGCACGGTTCCTAGACACAAGGTGGCGCTGCGGTTCAACATCGGTCGGTAGATCACGGACGGCACGCTCACCTATCCTCCAAGTTCCAGATGAACGCGACGATACCGTTCGGTTTGAGTATGCGAGCAAACTCGGCACAAGCCTTGTCGTAATCGGGGCACCAGTGGAATGCCTGACCGTGTAGAATGGTGTCAGTCGTACGCCACTGTGTCGTTGAAGTGACATGCCTGAGCGATAACGACAAGGTCGGCCCAGCCGTCCTCGACGCCGGTGGTGTCGAACGTGCCCTCGTGTGCGGATGCCCGGGGGTCTGTCACGGTCTTCTTGAACACGCTGCGCATGCCCTCGCTGGGCTCTATGGCACGCAGCTCCTTGATGGCGGACGACCAGTCCGGGTGCGCGAGCAGCGCGCGAGTGAAGATGCCAGTGCCCGAGCCGAGCCTGTACGCGGAGCACACCGTGAGTTGAGGCGCTTTGGGAGGTATGCTGAGCACCTACTCTACTACGTTGAGTGGCGGAGAGCCCTTGACCGCCTGGCGAATGTGTGACAGAGCGGTGGCCTGGTACGACGGCCGCGCGCTGGAGGTGTGCATCAATATCATGAACCTCTTGCGAAGCAGGCCAGCATCGCGCACCGGTCGTACAACTCGTTGCCTGTGCCGAACCCATCCTTGGCCACGTTATGCACCGTAGTCGACATGTTGCGGTGGATGAGATGATTGTTCGCCTAATGCAGCCGGTCAGCCCATGTCACCCAGCAGACAGGCAACGTGAAGAAGCCTGAGACCTACCTTCACTGCGGAAGGAGGAACCGGGCGTGAGTTAGATCTGCATGCTTGTGACCTCGACCTTTATGTAGGCTTCCAACGTCATGAGGCGTCGCGCCATACTCACCTGTACTTCGCACAGTGATTCAGATAAAGCCGCCAGGCCGAACGACCTCCGATGCGAGTGCAAGTCATGCTCACCGTGACTCTCGTCCCATCGATATCATTATCTGTGCTTCTGCGGAACCGAAGTGACGGGAAGATGCTGCTAATCCAAAAGAGATGCAAAACGACACCAGCAGGATTTGAACCTGCGCTCGAAAATCGAAACAGATAAGTACGTTCGAATCTGTCGCCTTAACCACTCGGCCATAGTGTCTTGACGTTTGAAGGTGCAGTGTACCTGAATGATAATGCGGATCCAGTGTAGTACTAACGACCACCTCCACTCAAGGCTGTGACTACTTTAACTTACTTCTGGCGGCCGTGTGCTAGACTTTCACCGTTTCACTCAAGTGTAACGAGGTAGATGCGTGGACACATACTCCAGTGTATGGGTGCGTATTGCTTCAGATCTCGATCTCAGACCTTGCCTCAGGGTACTCATACCGCCATTTTTCAAGGCGCGGCAAGGCTGGCGTCCCGTCGTGACTGTAGCGACGGTTCACCGGGAGTTCAGTTCCATAGACGTAGCTCAGAAGTCCAATCCATAATTGAGGCCTTGAGGCTGGCCAGTCACACCTGGTGTTCACCCTATTGGTCAAGTCCGAATGCACTGATGCGGCCACATCCATCTTGTGTCGGCGCCGTTGAGCCCTGCCGTGTCTCCTTATGCAATTCATGGCGGCCGGCACGACAACTCTCGCTGTCAAGACAGTGCTGGATCCCGGCGCAACATAGCATTTGATTGAACTCAAACTGATCGTTGACATGCTACAGGGATGATGTGTACAGTGTGGGACGTCCTCGACAGTTCGCTCAATTGAGCGAAGGTGACGAACTCAACTTCGCCCACCTTGTACGTGCCCCAGTGAGCATAATTCCCTTGGATCGTGGATAGAGTGGATTGCTAATAATAATATGGGACGCGGGTGCTTGCAGTCATGGTTCGCCACGCGATTCCTTGCGTCTTGCTATGAATAGGAGGATGTGCTGACGGCTTTCCCATGATAGACAGGGATGTGATATTCTGTGTCCCGTACCAGTGGCATGGATCTCAGAACAGCCGCACATCCCTGTGAATCGACAACGCGGTTACACGCTACATACCCGCCCGGACATAAAGGTGCCTCCGACATGGCCTTAGACCCTGTTGGCCTTGATGGTCCGCCCCCGCCGTTGAATTCCTTGCGGCATGAACGCGACCACCGACGCCGACTCCCAGGGGGAGCTGGAGGCGTTTGTTCAGTACTACGCCAACACGTAACCCTCTTGCTATTTGCACAGCATCCTATAACTGATCAGCTGTCCACTCACGCAGCCTCACATTCAACTACGCCGACTTGGCAGTATTCGGTGAGCTTCTTTCTCGAACGTCTCGCTCAGCAGCTCATCGTTACTGCAGCGGTCCTTCTGTTCGAGTATTTGATCACGTTCGACCGGGAGGTTCAGTTCGCATGGGGCCGCGAATTGTCATGGGCCAGAACAATTTTCCTTTTGAATCGATACCTCAGCATCTTGGAGTACCTGGTCGTTCTAGGACCTTTGCTACCTACTGTCAACTACGTCGTAAGTAGATCAGTGCTCTAGCGACGCTTGCCGACGCTGAATATGTCTCGACTGGTTTGCAGAGGCATGTACACAACGACGTGTTGCATTGCCACAAACTCACAGATACGCGCACCAGCTGTGCCCTCTTAACCAGGTTGATGCAGGTGTTTCAGATCGTTCTCTACATTGTATGGGCAGGTTCGTCGCACCTGCAGATGCTCTGTGCAGGGAGAGTGACTTACACGTCGCACGTAGCATTTGCGGGATTGCGCGTGTATGCAATCAGCGCGCGCAACTCCGTGGTGACTGTGGTCGTGGTAGTGCTTGCTGTGGTCCCCGCGGTGACTAATGCAGTAGGTGCTTAGTGATTCAGTTCTATTCACCAATTCTGACGGCCTTGCAGTACGTCGCCTCGCTCACGTCAGTCGCTCTATCGGACCTTGGATGCATGAGCGAGATGGATCTCCCTATATTGACATGGATCGAGTCCGTCCTTGCTTTTCGTTGTCACCATGCCACTACTCACTTGACCGACCATTCAGGTGTACGCAATACCATTACCCTTGGCCTACATAGCAACTGAGTACTGATCGACGAAAGCATCCACAGTGTCCGTGGCTACGCGTTCATGCATGATCGTCTCAGATGCCCTCGTCATCGTCACCACCTTGGTCAAGACTTGGAGTACTATGCGTGTCGCCAGAAGGCTCCACGTGCAGATGTCTTTCACTTCGTTGATTCTCAGAGAAGGTGTCCTATACTTCACGTAAGTGATCCAACAGAGGGACCAAGTACACTGCCGCTGCTTACACTTGCTGGATAACTCAGCATCATGCTGTCGCTCAACATCGTCCAGATCCTCTTCGACTTCCTGCAGGTCGGCAGCTTTAGCTTCATAGTGCCGTTTCTTAATGTGTATGTGGGCAGTTGATGGTCTGGACGTTGATACTCATGCCCACCCACCGTAGCATCACACCAATCCTGATCTCCCGGTTCTTTCTGGACTTGGACGATCTTACGGCTCAACAGTCCCCATCTTACTCCTCCGCGTCCGGATTACGCAGCTTGGGGACGCAGTCAACTATGCGTTTCATCACTCCTATCAGTACGGTCCGTAACGAACTGTGCCTTGTCAAGATGCGCACTGACCGCATTCGCAGGCTCCCGGCGATGTGAGACCTGCGTTCGTCTATAGCGATTATCGCAGCGACTACGAAGTTGGTGACGTTGGGCCTGCGGGATTCGAGAAAGACTATCCGACCGTCGCCACTTGGTCGGGCTCCGGACTGCGGGCGGGAAGCACTCGTGTGTAAGATACGATGGTATGACGATGGAATCCATGCGCCGGCGGGTCCTTTAAATTTTCCTGTACCTTCTTCGTCGCATTGGCGTCGCGCGCCAGATTCAAGACGCAGCAACAGCAAGTCATCACGTCTAATAGCAACCGTTGACATATGCCACTTAGCTGGGGTGCATCCCTGAGCCTCCTGATACGGCCGCTTACAAGTTACCATATACTTTGCGGGCGGGAGTGGTGTATGCGGTATTGACTTGCGGGCGCGCTCACGAGGTGCGACAACCAATAGTGACCGTGGCAACCTCAGACTGATGCACGAATAGGGAGGTGTACCGTAAGTGCTTCTGAACCTTATCACTTAGCTTCCGTCCGAACTGACCGAGACCAACTTGCCGCCCTCAGCGCGAACTGTGCCAATGGGCTATGACAAGAACGACTGTCTAACAAAGATGCTGAGAGATATAAGTGTCCCAACTGCCCATGTACCGCGCGCAGGCTTCGCCGCTGCATGCTGCCGATGCCAGGCATGCTCTACAGGTGTGCACAGCTGTCATCAGCTCGGAGGGCCGTTACGGGATGCGGCGGCCTTGCCACAGTGAACAGTACATCTGTGCGGAGTCCGTACCATCCGCTGTATCGGGTGCGATGGAGCGGGACCGCTGCGTATATATATTGGTTGCTACTCACGCCTTCGTCTCTCTGTCCGGCTGCCTTGACGGCTCTCCCTCTTGCTACTCCTGCAGGATATCGTCGTCCACTGGCATGGACGCCTCAGGCTGGGATGACCTGGTGTTAGCAGAGGAAATCCTGGAAGCAAAGTGAGTACGGATATACCTCTCGCCCGGCGTCATTCCATTCTAACTCTGCATTTCAGCCGACTGACACAATATGTCTTCGCATCGACATTCGGTAAGTCGTCATCTCGTCGCCCCGTGTGCATGACTGACCCTCACACCCGTAAATAGCAGTTCTCTTTTACGAGTACATGATCACGTTCGACCGCGAAGTTCACTATGCGTGGGGCCGGCGATTGACATGGGCGCGGGCGATGTTCTTCCTCAATCGCTACCTGAGCCTTCTCCAATACTTCGCTACATTCGCCAGCACCATCCTTCCTCCTTCATACTTTGTAAGTGTGCACATGCTCCGATGCGGCCGTATGCTGACCGCCCTCCAGAGGCACGTTGTGGACTGATGTAAACCCACTTCCAGTCTGTCAGCTGATGCGGTACTCGACAACACAGCTGCGGATTCCTTCAACGAGTTCAGCAAGCATGCATCATTATTCTTTTTGCTGTCTGGGCTGGTGAGCTGTCTACTTGCTTTGACCCACACGGCCTGTTGATTAAACGAGGGCGGGACCTGGCAGTGTTCTCCGGGTTGCGTGTCTACGCTATTAGTGGGAACCGCAAACTCCTCGCGTATATTGTGGTCTTCTTTGCCCTGATCCCTGTGGCAACATGCATAGTATGACTTCATGTGTTCCACTTTCATCATTCTATCGCTCATCGTATTCAAGGCCCTGGACACCCTTGTTCGCCTGGAGGTACTCGCCGATGTACCTTTCGTCATGCCATTCTGCATCCAAGACGGTAGCAACGTCAACCAATTCACCTCCACCATGTCAGTGTCTATAAGTTGTCAAGGTCTCCCTCGAGATGCGCTGACCCATCGTCGTTGACTACAGTCGTAAGGGCAACTCTGCACTACCCGCGCAACGCGTCCACTGACTCCGCGTTTCCAGTCGGCGTGGCTACTCGAGTCCCGCTTCTCCTCTCAGAAGCCATCGTCATCGTAGTGACGCTTCTGCAGACTCGCAGCGCGTACCTCGAGCATCCCGAGCATCAGGGTTACGCCTCACTGGTCATGCGAGAAGGCGTCCTCTACTTCCTGTGAGTGCTTCGCGTCATACACCAATCGCACCTCCATCTGACAAAGCCCACGCAGGGCCATGGTGGTAGTGAATATTGTACAAGCCGTGTCGGACGCGCTCTTCGAAACAAGGCTCGCGTTTGTCTGCGTGTTTCTAAATATGTAAGGACTATGGTCCTTCGAAGAATCTTCCAGCCACTGATTGCTATGCGACCCAGCATCCCACCGATCGTAGTCTCTCGGTTCTATTTCCAGCTGGACGAGCTCCGCAAGTATGAACCCCAGGAAACGTCGTCACGATGGAAGGTAGGCCACTCACTCCGTTCAATGTTAATGTGGCAGACTCAGCAAGGACTGAATTGCAGCCGCTGCCCCCGACACCCGGCATGAGTAATGATGGCGGGGACGCGAAGGTGCGATACTTGCACGAGGTTCTCGTATATACAGAGAATGCGTACGCGCATGCTTAGACGTTTTGGCCGTAGACCGACCATATTGTA